ATGTGGTTGGAGTTGCTAGTTGTTACAAGGAGAATCCAACAACCACTCATTTGAAGGTGGCAAAAAGAATTCATTGGTATATCAAAGTTTGGTTACAGAATCTACTAAAAGAGTTAAGCCTGTCATAAGAAAATCTAACAAAGACTTTTGTGAACAAGTTAGCAATAACTTTGGCTAAGAACTTAGTTTTTCATTACCAAAGTAAGTACATTGATACGTGTTACCACTACATTAGAGAGTGCATCTCAAAATAAGACATGCAAGCACTACAAAAAAAATGTTTCATAAAATGACATGTAAAAAGTGTCATTATAGTATAATATGTATAGGTATAAATCTATTTGACATATAGTTACACACAATTTTAGTATGGATTTTAAATGAGATTCAACAATATATATTGTGTGTCACTATAACCTATACATACATTTTTAACAATATACCAACATATATTATATTTATAGTATAGGTAAAAGTAGTTTATAGTGACAAGTATTGTGTCACTTTATGATAATTTTTTAGTAGTGAAGTATGTGAAGACTCGTGATCCAGTTGTCAATATCTTCACCAAGTTACTCAAGAAAGAAAACTTTAGTAGGTTGAGGGGCTTGTTTGGAGTAACAAAATGAGATTTAAGGGAGTGTTGAATATAAACTTGAAGGATGATGGTGGCATGAAAGGAAGATGCTCTCATGAAAGGTTGGCATACTCCAAGATGAAGATGGAGGTCACTCTAGGGCTTATCACTCACCAATGGTGGAGATAGGAATAAGTTAGTCGAATTTAACCTAGGGACTAAGAATAAGATTTTGAGGCATGAAATGCTCACTCAATATCATAATAATCCAAAGTATTTACAAGGTGGGTGGCCTATGATATTTATAGGGGAAGGAAAACATCTAGGGTTGCATTTGGAGGTGCTTGGCTGAGAAATGCAAGCCAAATGCACTCAAATGTACCCTAAGTTAACCATAAATGTGGTGTGAGTTCCTTTCCTCCTAAAAGACTAAAATATCCTTTGACCTAAAAATGGAAAAAAAAAAGTGGACTTTGATCTCACAAGTCAAGGTTTAAGTCCAAAAATAAATTCTAAGCTATTTTGCACCATAATACAAAGGATAAATAAAAATATAAAATAAAATCCTATCATCTAAAGTACCCCAAAATACAAGGATAAAATGAGAATAAAAACAATAAATCCTATACTACTCAAAATAGGCCTAGGAAAGGCTCAATACTCCACACGCATGATAAGCATAGCCTTAGGCATGGTGTCTCCTCCTTCCTCCTTCATTCTCTTAACCATGGACCTGGTAATGGGTTCCACATGAAGCTTTAAGGGTGGTCCTCCATCAGATAATATATATACATAGATAAAAAGTCACTTATTAATTATTTTTTATTTAAATGGTCACTCTTATCTATTTATCTATCTATCTATCTATCTATCTATCTATCTATCTATCTATCTATCTATCTATCTATCTATCTATCTATATATATATATATATATCAAATAATATTGAAATTCATTATTTTTAAAATTGTATTGGTCGGTGATAATATTTATTTAAGTTTTAATGGTTGAATTGATAATAATAATCTCTTAAAAACTTTTAATAGAAGACATTAAGTAATAATTAATAAAATAAAATAATATTCATTTTATAGAATAAAATCATTATTATTTAAGACTAATAATACAATAGGTATTAAGATTAACAATACAATAAATATTATATAATATTATTAAGACTCGATAGATAAATATGAAAATGCAGATTGAATCTTGAAAACTTTCTAACATTGAGGAGTGATTAGGAAAACTTCTTCGGCATGATTCTAAGCAAGAAGGCATTAGAGAAGAGAAAGTTCTTATAAGTGCTGATTTTTTTTTATTATTATTAAGTATAAAGAGAGTGAGGAAAATATTAGTATAAGTTCAATATTTTTTACTAAGCTAATATTATTAATTAGGATTTTTTAAGGTTTTTATGTTCTCCTTATATATAGGTATAGGAATAATCAAATGTACAAGATTATTTTATTTAATATGTGGGACTTGTTTAAGTGAAAGGAGGGGAAAATTTAAAATTGTGACCTACTTTATCATTGTTAAATTACATATTTGTAGTTGAGTTTTCTCAAGATAGAAGTTTATTTTTGTTTTTAAGATGTATGCATGAGTTGTAAACCTTTTTATCAAACTTTTAAACAGTGTAAAGAGTACCTCAAAAGAGTAATATATAATTTCCTTTATTGGATATTCTGTAGTTGCAAAAGTTTACTTCGAAGAATGCTCATATATATTTTATTATTATTTAATTCAATTTTATTATTTTTACTCTTTCTCTTTTGTTATTTTTTCATTTTTTAATGTACATATATTTTAATATATATATATATATATATATATATATATATATGTATAATTTTATTATTTTTCTGATTTTTTATACTTTACCTTTAATAGTTTGGATGAAGTTAGGTATGGATATGAGACATGATAGGTAATATACTTTATCTGTCTCATGGTGACTGTCGTTTAAACATTTTAAAAATGTCTCAAAATGAATAATGTTATCATTTTTTTAATGTAATATTAATTTTTTTTTTCTTCTTAATGATGAAAGAGGCATGACAAATGGTCCTAGTACTAAGGCTGTGACTAGGAGGATTGGGCTCAATGAGTTTAATGAGTTTATGCTTATCTTAAACTATAGACTACTAAATACATAAGCCTAATATTAATTGTACACTTGTATACAATTTCTTTTATTTTGGATCTTGTATTTTGGGACAAGTAGAATAAGGAGTCTCTTATAATTTTTTTATTGTGTAATTTTTAAGCCTAGGAAATTTAATTTAACTGAGTCAACTATTAACATTTGGTTTGAATTTTATGACACATGAAAGTGGTTGAGGGAGGCACACATAGTGCAACATAAATTCAAAATGTTAATTACATGTTAACCAAATTAAATCATATTTTATTAGTAGGTTGCTTCACCCATGTGCATGAAACTTTCAAAACAAAATCACCAAAAGTTTTACTCAAATTTTAATTTTCCAACTAATTGCAACTTTGAGTTTCTATTCTCTTGAAAATATTGTGTTACACATTTGGGTTTTAAAAAGAAAGGTCACAAGTAGATCTAAAAGAAAAGGAAATCAAAAGTGTAAAAAATATATATACAAAAGAAAATGTACTAATTTTGTATTAAAAAAAATTAGTGGAGCTTGAATATTAAAAAAATTATAATTAATTCAAATATTTTTGTCACAACTATATTACTTGAAAGTTTCATTACAACAATTTAAATCTTTCTGAGTATTTTATTGCTTTTGTAATCTACTCTAAGTGTGAATCTAGGACTTTCTTTTGTATACTAGCTTTAAAATTTACTTTTAATTCTAGTTTTTCATTTTATTATAATTTGTTGAGTTTCTCACTTCAATTCCTCGAGTTTAGTCATTTATAGTTTTTAGCTTTTCTTGTTTGTCTTTCAAAATTCCTTTAGTGCTATTGGTGTTCTAACTTTCAATTGAAGGGATAATCAAGGACACCTTATCACTAGGTAGTGCATTGAGTTGTTGATGAAGGCCTAGAAACATCTATTCCTTGGTTGAAGCTTGGAGATTGAGAAGAACTTGAGAGTTAAACATTTAGGAAGGAGGGGAACATTTGGGAGACTACAAGATTTGATTTTAAATTGCTTCAAAATTCTTTATAAAAAAAAAAAAAAAAAAGGTCTGTCATCATTGAAGTGGTCTTAAAAGATTTCAAGTATCAACTTGAGACTTTCACCCTTTGTTTGTAATTGTTAATTTTCGTAGTTTTTAAATACTTGTTTCAACATTATGAGTGTTAAGAAGTTCCTACGGCTTCCTTAACACTAATAGTTGGTCATAAGCATCTAGATAAAGCGTTTAGATAACACTAATAATTGAGTATTAGTAAGCTAGTATTAAATAGTGTTACTGACACTTTTTCTTTTGAAGACTGTAAATTTGATTATGATTATAATATATTATTTTATTTTGAGTCAATTTGAATATAAGTTAAAAGTGTTTTTTAGAATTTTTCTAATGAAAATAAAGAGTATTTTTCAAAAATATTTATAAGTTTGTATCTAAACAGACTCTTGATTTATTGAAATAAGTTTTATTATTATTCTCCTAGATCTACTCCTCTTAGTTCCAAGTTGCTATAAATATTTTCGTCAAATTCCTTTTCTCTGTCATTCTTTCATTCTTCCTTATATGTTTGTCCCGGAGACCCCCACCCCTTCTTTTGTGTTTGAATCATTACTCTATCTTCCCTTTCAATCACCAAATACCCTTTTCACAACACTTCCTACCATGCTTATTTGCAAATCCATTCTCCACACTTCTTAAACTTCGCTCCGCCATGATATCATTGGATAAACCGGTAACTTTGATTGGGAAAGCTTAGCGGGAAGGTTTCAGTTATGAAAAACAACATTAAAATTATATTGTATTTTTTTCAATTGCATTTTTCTTTTTGAAGGTAAGGGAGTTATGTAAAAATAGTTTATAATCACTTAATTAACAAGTATTTTTTATGGAAGATTAATGCAAATTGGGTATTGACTGATGAACACCACTAAACTTAGTATGTTGATATTTGTCACAGATGAAACACACTAATGATTTCTCCCTCTTAAGCAAAATAATTTCACTATCCCTAAACATCACAGATTCACTGTCTTAAATTGACATTGTGCTAGTTTCAAGAAAAGAAATCCTTAAATTTATGATCGTATAAATTGTTAAGGATATGCTTTACAAAATAAGTGTAAAACAAATCACATTGATAAAATGATTAACGTTTTAGCATTTATAAAATACACATAATATATGGATTTGTAGAGTACAACCAATTTGATTTTTGTTTTCATCAATGGTTATGGTTATCTACTTGTACTACACAACAAGTCCATGAAATTATCTACACTACAAGGACTAAGGAATGGAGGATGAAAACTCTTGTACTATTTTCAGGTTTTACTATTTCATACAAATGAAAAAATTGATAAAGAAGGAGAATGGTTTGGACTAAAGAGCCAAAAAGAGCAGTATTTAAAATCAAATTTCATACTTGTACCCTCATTAGGCCAGAGCTCAGAGTCCGTTCCATCTTTTAGATACAAACCGTTAAGTAACCACAGCCAATTTTCATCAGTGTAATATTTTTAACATGGATATTCTGTTTGTTGGCCCTCTAGAGTTCTAAACTGAAGATGATTGCAGTCAGTATAAACTTTCTGCTTGTGGTTCAACTGCTGCACTGACATTCTGCAAAATTATTAAGAAAACTAATCATTAAGCAGAATTATTTTGCCATAATGAGTCGACACTGTTATCAATTCATAGATAAGTGAGTGGTCCCCTCCCCTCTAACTTATCCAACTACGACCATCTGTCAATTTTTTTCTGGTTTTAAGGTCCTAACAGAGTACTCTCATCTCATGTGGGATTTTTACATCAGAAGGTCATGTGAAGACTGGAGAAAAAGATAAATACTAAAGACTTAAGTAAGATCCGATAAATTTTGACATGGTGTCTATCTCTTACATGTCCTTGTCATATGAAAATCTCACATGAGAGGATCTATTTCTCATAACGAATTAATATCCTAATGGGAAAATATAACTTTTGGTGGGCTAAAATATGAAGATACTTAACCTTGCACCAGCAGAAAGCCCTTATCCGGAGTATTCAAAAAGTTATTGTTCTCCAAGCTGTAACAAGTCAGGTCCAGTGGGCTAAAATAGCAGAAAGGGTCTTCGCATTTTATTTGGACCTGCATATAAATGTGGCTAGTATTTTTATATATTTAGTATGATCTGATGATAGATGATTGTATATCTGCAGTATACTGTTAGCAAAAACAAAGGCATTTACAAAAGCTCTAGTTCCAGATCTGTAAGTATGTAATTATGCTACAGATAATGTCTCATCCAAAGAAATTTATCTTGTCATTTACACTGTCTAGAAGTTAGAACTATTCCATCTACCTTGCATTTTGCAACCTCAATCCCTTTATTTTAGGAATGAACAGAGAAAAGTGTACATGAAAAGAAAAAAAATAAAAATAAAGAGAAAATAGAGACACAAAAATTAAAATAAAAAAAAAATGAATATACCTCCATGCATACATCAATTCTTCACCACGCTGCTAGAATCAATATATCATGTCTTCTGGGCCTGAAAACCAAGTAATTCAGTTTGCGACTTTGTGTAACATTATAAACTTCTATAAAATGGGAAGAAACTTGATTTTTTCCCATTTTCAAAACAAACAAAATTCAAATATTTGGCACAGTTGGCTGCTCATAAATAGTCTACAAAAGTTAACTCGTGACAAAGATTAGATTTCATTACTTCCTCTGCGATGACTCCCTGAAAGATGTCAAAATTAAATAAAGATATGAAAGCATAACAACGTGTGAAAAGGTCAGGAAACAGTTGTAGAGAAATAAAATAACTAAAGGAAAATGTTGAATAATCCAAGTGTTTTTAATTTATAATTTACCAAATAGAAAATGAATTTGATTAAAAGCTTTCAGATTGGTTTCTCATGTAGTATTGGGTGAGCAACTTAGAAAAAGGAAGTACATTTAGGTTAGAAGGAAGAATTGAATATGAATATGCAAATGGAGTTATGCTCATAATATAGGGTTATCAAGTTTATTACCATATCGGTTCTTATGAGTTACGAACAATGACAATATCATTCCTGCAATGCCAATCTCTTTCAAAGGTCACTACCAATAATCACCACAAGAGCATAATCCATCTGAAAAGTGGTGAAATCGCTTTGAATCTCGGATTATGATAGTACGCTTTTCTATCAGTGAAACAAATTTTGCAGTGTTGTGGCAATCCCGGCATATTCTGAGATTTTTTATTATAACTAATGGCATATCAGTACTACTAACCAAAAGTCCATATGCAAGTGCTATCTTCTCACTATGCTTGTTAATCATATCTGTTTTCACATCTTCGTCAACATCATGGAGAATAGATTCAGTTTCAGACACAAAGCCAACCTCTTGAATTTTTCTCATAAGCTCTTCCAGCTTCTTGTGTATTTTTTCTGAATCAGGGTGAGAATAATCATCTACCACAAAACGGTGGATTTTATTCCCGTGCTCAATAAAACTGCATCCGGCATTTCTCGTAAGAACTTTAGTCTTCATTAAAGACCTCACTTTTGATGCATCACTCCACAGACCTGCAGCAGAATATATGTTGGAAAGCATGATATAGTTTCTAGGGTCTGAAGGATTTAATGCAATCAAATTCTCTGCAGCTTCCTTCCCAAGATTGATGTTACCATAAACCCTACAAGCACCAAGAAGGGCACCCCAAACTCCAGAATTTGGCTCTAATGGCATGTTCTTTATCAGCTGATGAGCATCATTGAGTAGACCGCAGCGGCCAAGAAGATCAACCATACATGAATAGTGATCCAACTGGGGCTGAACTTTGTAGACATCAGACATGATTTGAAAGTAGTACTTTCCTTCCTTGACAAGCCCTGAATGGCTACAAGCACTTAACAAATGAGTAAAGGTAACATGATCAGGCTCCAAACCTTCCCTAACAGTCCTTTCAAAAAACTCTATTGCTTCTTTCCCATGCCCATGCATGGCATACCCTGCAAGCATTGAAGTCAATGCCACTTTATCAGGCTTGCTTATATCTGCAAAAACCTTGTGAGAAGCACTCAATCTCCCTAACTTTGAATACAAGTTCAAAAGGGTGGTCGCGATCGTTATATTTTCATTAAGACCACAGGTGAAGATCACACCATGCATGGCCTCTACCAATCTTCCCAAAGGCAAATTTTCACAGGCTTGAAGCAAGCTCACCATCGTGGCTTCATCAGGAAAAAGTCCAATCACCCTCATCATATTAAAATAATTAACAGCTTCATTAGGGAATCCATTTTGTGTCCAAACAGCCACCATTGAATTCCATGACACCGTATTCTGCTCCGGCATTGCCCAAAACAGCTTGAAAGCAGAGCCAACACAGCCAAACTTTCCATACAGGTTAATAAGAGCATTAGCAACCTTCACCTCCAACTCCATACCCAATTTCACTACACAACAATGAAGATACCAACCCTCATCTCGGGCTTTCGCAAAAGCACAAGCCGAGATAACAGATATAAGTGTAAGCTCATTCAATTCCAATGTCATTTCAGATCTCATTCTAGAAAACACACTCAGGCAATTACCAAGGTCTCCTCTTTTCGAAAACCCGGAAACCAAAGAGTTCCAAGAGACCGAATCCTTGTGGGGCATTTCATCAAACAGGTTCTGTGCATCTCGGGTGGACCCCATGTTAAGGTAGCATGAAACCAATTGATCACCAATGAACCCATCTCTGTAATCCTGTGATTTGATCACTCGGGCATGAATGACCCTGCAGCAGGAGACAGAAGATGAAGATTTCAGAGCAAGGAGTAGAGTGGAAAGAAGAGGGTCACAACGGTATGATGGAATGGAATGGAACTGAAGAGAGGTTTCTAAGAGTTGTAACTGTAGAGGGTTTGGTGGATGTAACTTACCCCTAAATTTTACGTGAAACAACCTAAACATATTTGTTTCATCCAAATATTTTGTGTGGCAAAATATTCTATATCTTGGTCAGTACCACAATTTTTCAGAAATTTAATGCAATTTTTTTTGTGGATTTTGAAATATTTCTAAGAACAGGGTAAGTTTTTGTAAGTCTTAGTTCGAAAATGAAGTTCTAAATGTTAGACGCAATGAACTATTTTATATATCGAAATAATCATTTAAAAAATAAAAAATAATTATTTTATTTTTATAAAGATTATATGTATCTTTTACAAAAGATAATTTCATTTAAGTTAGATAAAATTATTATGAATAATAAACTCTCTTTAAATCCTTAATTCAACTACCTATTTAGAATTGAAATTCTAAATTATTGGTTAAACTAGAATAAAAATAATTAAAAGGTTAAAATATATTTTTAGTCTATTAATTTAAAATTGATTAAAAAGCTTATTTTAATTCCTCCATTCAAATGTCATTATTAAATCTATAAATAAAAAATGTCATTATTAAATTCATAAAAAAATCCTCCTATATTACTTAATTTATAATTATTACAACATAGTTAATACTATACAACTTACTTGATCTATCACTTTAGTAATATGCTAATAATGGTCCTTAGGAATTACAACATACTTTATTTAAGTTACAATGATTAAAAAGATTAAATTTAAATTGTTTAAATATATTTTTAGCTCTCTAATGTGTTTTTTTTTCTTTTGATTCCTAAAATGTTTTTGCTTAATTTTTTATTCTTATAAAAGAATAATTTGTCCCAATATTTACTTTTTCATTGTTTATGCATAACGTGTCAAATATCAAATAGGTTAAATTCACTTAATAAAGTGTCCATTGAACGTACACATCATGCAAAATAATGAAAAAAGTAATATTAGAGACGAACAAAAATATTTTTAAACGGGCAAAAAATTAAATAAAAAATTTAAGGGTAGAAAACAAAAAACATGTATATTATAAGGATAAAAAAATACTTAAGCCAATTTAAGTTTGAGGGATCATAATCGATTTACATTAAATTTGATAAAAAAAATACATTTAAAACTAATAAAAATTGTAAGACTTTGTATGGATTTAGCTACTGTACGAATTTGTAAAATGTGTAACACCTCATGTTTTTGCTAAAATAAATTAATAAAAGAGTTTTAGTTAATTAATTGATTTTTGGACATAACTAAGATGTTTTTATATAATTATGTATTTTACTTAACTAAGAAAAGTTATGAAATTAATTCTTTTAATTATGTATATTTGGAAAATATGCATTTTATGATATTGTATTATTAATTATGTTTTTTTATTAAAAAGAGAAGGAAGTAGGCTTTTGTTGAAAAAAAAAAAGAGGTTTTAAATAAAGTTGGGATAATTTGTGTTTCATTTTACGCTTACATTCTTTTCCCTCTAAAATTGAACAACTTAAGAGCAAGATAATGTGTTTGGATAGAAAATTTAAATAGAGTAATTCATTTGTTTGAAGAATTTTAAATTTTTTGAGGTGAAATATCTTGTTTTTGGATGGAGAATTTATAAAGAATTTGAAATTCAAACATTTGTGAAATTCCTTGAAATAGTAAAATTTGAAATTCTACAAAAAAAGTAAGAATTTGAAATTCTTCATATTTTTTTTCTTCTTATTTCACTTATACATTTTATCTTATCTCTTCATGTTTTTAATTATTTAATATTCAAATATTTTTAAAATTATTAAATATTATCTAATATTAATTTTTAAAATTATTAAATATTTAAAAATTAGCTAATATTTATTTTTATGAAATTTAATTTAATAATCTCAGCATATAAATATATTTTTAAAATTGTTAGAATCAAATTATCATATCCAACTTAACAATTTAAAATTTAAGAAATTTGAATTGACTTATCCAAACAAAATATTTTAAGAATGATGGAAATTGAAATCAAAGTAATTCAAATACTAAGGATTTAAAAATCCTTGAATTCGTAAAATCCCTCATCCAAACACACCAAGGAAATCATCTGAGAGCTCTACAATCTTCACCAAACATTCATCAATGGTAAAAGGAGTGAGTACTCTTACTCTGGGTAGAGAGATTGACCTTCAATCTCTTGTCTGTCCATGTGTGTCTTGAGGGAGAAATCTCAATTCTGGATTGTATGTTATGAATATCTGTTTCATATGTTCCTTATAAATGATAATTGTGTTATATGTGTCACATTTTATATCAGGATATGATTAATTGTAATTCTATTAGTGTCTGTAGTTCCTATAGGAACCTTTAACTTATAAAGTAAGGTGAAAATTAATAGAATTAATGATGTTTTGGTTGAATTGGTGTAATTTTGTTCAATTGTGTAGTATTATGCTTTACTTGTGATTTTTTATCGATTGAAATGTAAGGTTTGGACTTTGGGAAAGGTATGAATTTTTCACTTGTTATAGTTTTTTGTCGAAACTAGTTTGACACTGGACACCATGAAGGGTTGTCAAGCAAGGGAACAACAAAAAGCATAAGTTGCTCTCTATGGCTTAAATGTTGGGTGTGGGATGGTCTACGTTATGTGTGGGAGTTCTAGGGGCTCCCTAATGCAAATTTATCAAGCACGAGTGTAGTCACGTTGAATGGGAGACTTTCAAATAGCAATGTGTACTCTTTGTGTGACTTGCATTAGGTACAAGGAACTCATTGTTGGGCACCACCCTGCATGTGAATAAGTAATTATATTATATATGTGACGATGTTTTTAGAGGTGCCTAATTAAGCAAATAATCTCTATTAATTAAGAAATATAGTATGATGTTTAAGTGAAGAAGTATATATAGTTTAAAGGAAAATCTTGACTTTTGTGCTTATTTCTTGACATTGGTTAATGATGATGTAAGATGTGTACATGGGTGGACCATGTGATGATCATGTGACATGAAGTCTAAGTTGAGGCTTAGTTGAGATAAAGTATGGGCATGATTGCCCGATAGTGATGTGAATTAAGAGATATGTGATGTGAACTTGTGATGATGATATAACATGACATATGCATTGAGTCCCTTTGACATGTACCATGAGCATAATGTTTTTATGTGAAAGGTACGATATGGAATACAATGTTAGGGAAGGTCCTATAACATCATGGTTTTTAAAAAAATATAATATAATATTTTTTTATTAAAAGAATTATATTTTTGACTAATTTAATTAATCGAGTTAGTAATATAATTAATTTTTTTAGGAAATAAAATAAAAAGGAAAAGGATAATGGGTTGAAAAGTGGAGTTTGGGTTGGACTCTTAAGTCCAACCTAAAGACTAATTAAAAACAAAAATAAGGGGTAGGTCATCTTTACACATATATTTTAAACTCTAAGAGCACCTGTAGACAAAAACCTAGAGAAAGGCATTAAAGAGAGTGCGAAGTAGTGGCCAAAGCAACAAAAGTGCATGCTTGTGCCATAGAGATCATCACTCGAGGTAAAAGGAGTGAGGATGATGGAGGACCATCCTTGAAGCATCATACAGGATCTATTACAAGGTCTATGGCAAGGAGAGTGGAGGAAGATGGAGAGCACACCATGCCTAAAGTCATGATCATCATGTGTGTGGATTTTGAGTCTTTCCTTGAGCCTATCTAGTTATTTGCTTTTTCTTCCATTTTTGCCTTTGTATTTTAGGGTACAATAGATATTAGGATTTTATTTTGTATTTTTATTTAGCCTTTATATTATGGGACAAATTAGTCTTAGGACTTACTTTGGGACTTAAACCTTGACTTGTGAGGTCAAAGTCAATTTCTTTCTTTTATAGACCTAGGGGTATTTTAGTCTTTTAGGAGAGATAAAAGTCCATTTCATTTGGATTGCATTTAGGGCTCATCTAAGGTGCATTTAGGCTTGAAATTTTTGACCAAATGCTTCCCAAGAAACCCTAGTTGCTTTCCTTTCTCTATAAGTATTCCATGTCATCCACCTTGTAGCCACTTTGGAAATTAATGATATTAAGTGAGCCTTGTGCCTCAAAATCCCTTTCTTAGCCTCTTAGGAATCTCCACGGGCCTTTTTCCTCTCCTATCTTCCTTGAGTGAGCTTAGTTCTACTGAAAAAGTATTTAAGTGTCTGATTAAGATATTCCTTCATAGCTCAGCAACCGAGCATATCGACTTAACAAGCTATAAGAATTCAGAACCTCTTTTAGAGTAGATCTAGGTTTCGGGACAAGCTTATCACCTTTATGGGTTGTTAAGAAATCCCAGTCAAGCTTATAATGGTTTGAAATCGAGTTGCTCATTTAGCTTATTTGTCTTAGTAGATCATCTTAGAACTAAGATTTATACAGATACATAATCTACTTAGATCGCGATAAAAAGGATTATCTTGGGGGAAAAAAAAAGATAAAACAAAAATACGAGATATTAGGCATACAAGGTGCACATTGATGCAATCCTGAAAAGATATGCCCTAAATACCGAAAAAAAAGGATATCAAAGATAATAGTAAAAAATAAGGTTAAATAGCCAAGCGAAAATCCTAGAATACACACAACTTTCAGAGCAACACTAGAGAGAGATAGAGAAATTTGGTACGAATAGTGCTCCAATAACGAGAAACTTTTTGTGGCTAAAATATTTTGGCATCCACCGTGAGGGAGAATGGCAAGAGGTGCGATACCAACAGGGAACAATGACGAACCCTAATCGACAATGGAAGAGCTATTATAACATAAAATAAAATAATAAAATAAAATAATATTCATTTTATAGCATAAAAATATCATCATGACTAATAATACAATAAGTATTAAGACTAACAATACAATAATTATTTACATAATATTATTAAGACTTTATAGAAAAATATGAAAACGCATATTGAATCGTGAAAAGTTTTTAAAATTGACAAATGAATAGGAAAAGTTCTTTTGATGAACACTCATGCATGCCTCTATACAAGAAGGCATTAGAGAAGAAAAAGTTCTTATAGGTTCAAATGTTTTCTTATTAAGTCTAAAGAGAAAGGAAAATTTTTTAGTATATAAGTTCAATTTTTTTACTAAACTAATGTTATTAATTACAATTTTTTTAAGATTCGTAATTTTCTCCTTATATATAGAAATAGGGAAAATGAGGTGTATGAGATTATTTTATCCAATATGCGAGAC